CACAAGGCGCGCCTCGGGCAGGAGCGACTGTCGCTCCGGTCAGAAAAAAGTTTCAGTGGTGGGCCCAAGGAAGCGTTCCCACTAGGGAACTTGCTCCGATACCATGTGAAGAAATGAGGAAAATGAATGAACTAGCAAGCAGGTGGGTACAAGTAGGAAAACCTAAAAGTGTTGTACCCCATATTGTCTACCCCACTACAACCTACACAGACTATAGGATAGGAGTTTGACACCAGAATTGAGCACAGTGGCAACCGCCTGCATGTGCATACACCGGAATTCGTACCCGAGACCGCTCAGATACCATGTCAGAATCCCAACCACTATACCATTGGGATAAAAAGGCTTGTTTGTGTTGCGGGTCCGTGCGTCCGTAACCCCTCAGGCGAACGTGCATGTAACCCTTTCAAGGATCAATCGGGCATTCACAGTGCAGATCTACTGACACCCACCCCACCTTCCCCCCCCTTTTGCCCTTCCCACAAGTCAGGGCATTCCTCACCATTCATCTTGATGCTTCAAGGCAACATTTTGCAGCCTTCCTAAGATTCCAGGGCAAACCATATAGAATCATCATGAAGTTATTGGGTAAGAGTTAGCATCATCTTAAAATATTAGGGCAAACATTCACACTATTATGAAATCAGGGTGATCAAGATGTTTCATCCCAATAATGAGGGCCCTTGTGGTCGGCGTTCCTCTTAGTGATGGCACTTGCTTTTTTAATTGCTCCTGCTGCACGTATTCGGGCAGCCTCCAGAATTTAGGGAACACTTTCGGGCACCCTGGCACGTTTTCAGCGAACTGTTGTCTTTGTGTTGTGGGGTTTAGAGAGCTCGGCATCATGGGCATCTTAGGGTTCTGCCTATAGTTCAGGTACAAGGGTGACTGCTGATGGTTGCTGACGTGACGTTGTTGTAGGCGAACTGGATCAGCGACAACTGTTGCCCCCATGTTGCCGGGTCGTCACATTTGGCGCGAATCAGCTGCTCCATGGTGTGGTTCTTTCTCTCCGTTTGTCCATCGGTCTTGTATAGGACGAACTGAGCTGTAGCCGGGTCCCAAACTGCTTTCATAAATCCTTCCAAAAATTGCTGGTGAAGTTTGCAATTCTGTCGTTGATGATGGCGGCTGGTATCCCGTGCAGGCGAACGACGTTTGCGATGAACATGCGATCGATTTCTTCTACTGAGATCGACTTCTTGCACGTAGCGAAGTAAGCCAATTTCGTCAGTCAGTCAACGACGACCATGATTGCGTCGTTACCATCGGGGCTCGGAGGTTGTTGTCAGAACATTATAGCTTATGCTTTTGTGTAGGTTGTAGTGGGGTAGCCTATATGGGGTACAACCCAATTAGGGTTAGTACTTGTACCCAACTCTTTCATAGTGCATTCATTCTCGTTCATTTTCACAGTTGTGACGAACGAAGTTCATTGTTACTGTCAGAATCCCAACCACTAGACTATTGGGATACAAGGGCTTGTTTCAGTAGCGGGTCAGTGCGCCCATAACCCCCCAGGCGAACGCGCCTGTAACCCTCTCCAGGATCAATCGGGCATCCACAGTGCAGATCTACTGACACCCCCCCCAAACTGGGAGGCCCAGGACTAAGCACAGCGGCAACGGCCTACATGTGCATAGACCGGGAATTGAACCCGAGACCGCTCTGATACCATGTCAGAATCCCAACCACTAGACCATTGGGATACAAGGGCTTGTTTCAGTAGCGGGTCAGTGCGCCCATAACCCCCCAGGCGAACGCGCCTGTAACCCTCTCCAGGATCAATCGGGCATCCACAGTGCAGATCTACTGACAGTTACTGGTACTTGCTACAGGTTCAGGCGCGTTCGGGCGGCGGACCTATTTTTTTATTATGCAAACTCTTCATCACCTGAGAAGTACGCCACGATCCCACGCGGTGCAGTGAAAGTGCACCTGAAAGTGCACGTTCAATTGATTTTATCAACACCGAGGCTGCCTCGCGTCGCCTTCGTTTTTTCCTCGCCTAACTTGCACCCGACCTCGCGTTCCCAAGGCTCCCGCCTAGCTAGGTTAGCATGCTTTATTATATCGCGTCTTTCATTGTATCATTCGTCCATATATTGTCACATCTTAATTATTCGTTATTACGTGCAACTTTCTTGAACAACTAATAACACTTTCAATCTGTGCATTCTTCCTTTATGTCACATAACGAGTAGCTAGATTATAAACGATTCACAAGTCTGCCCCTCTGTCAGAATCCCAACCACTAGACTATTGGGATAAAAGGGCTTGTTTCAGTAGCGGGTCAGTGCGCCCATAACCCCGCAGGCAAACGCGCGTGTAACCCCCCCTTAGGATCGATCGGGGATCTCACAGTGTAGCTCTACTCACACCCCCCCACACTGGGAGGCCCAGGACTGAGCACAGTGGCAACGGCCAACATGTGCATACACCGGGATTCGAACCCGAGACCGCTCTGATACCATGTGAGAATAACGAGGAAGTGAAGAAAGGAGGGGTTTCACTAGCAGTAGTTGGGATACATATAGCAAACCCTAACAGGGTTGTACTCGCTATAGAGCACCCCACTACAGGCTAGATAATGACATTCTGACACACCCCCATAGCCAAAGTGGGGTGTAATCAGCACAATGAGCAGGAGTTCACAATAATAAGCAAAGCTAGAGGTAATCACAGCGGGCAAGTGAGGAGGAGGAACTGTGGAAGGAGAGAATATGGGAGGCAACGACTGAAGCTGCAGAGGCACGGGCACAGGAGCGGCTGACTCAGTAGCTACCGAAGCAAGGGCGACGGACTACTTGAGTGACTGGCTCCGCGGTTAAGACGAACGGCAGGAGCAACGGACCCACTGGCGACTGGTGCAACAGGCTCACTGGCTACTGAAGCAAGGGCGACGGACTACAGGCGCTGCAGGCGACACGACAGCTACCTCCACACAACCTCCTCCAACTGACCCACACCCTTGACACACACCCTAACTGCTTCACCCCTAACTCCACTCCCATGTCACCCCCTCGTACCACTCCGACGGCTCCAACACAACACATCTACCCCCCTCAGCGGCAGCTGCAGCACTGGGAGACGGAGGAGGAGGAGGAGCAGGGGACGGCGCACAGAAACTGCACCCCCATACCCCCCACCCCCAAACCCTAATTCAGGAGAACGGGCAACAGCAGGGGTGGGGCGTCGTCAGAAGCACGGGGGACAGCGGGCAGCTCAAGGGCAGAGAAGAACGGGCAGCCCACGGGCCTGGGACAGCCAGACGAACCGCGCGCAGGCAACCCGTGTCAGAATGTTATTGTTCTCTAGCCTGCAGTGGGGTACTCTATAGCGAGTACAACCCCTTAGGGTTTCCTATATGTATCCTGCTGCTTTCTAGTGAACCCCCTCTTCTCTCATTTCTCTTTCTCGTTCATTTCTCACAGCCCGAGCCGCGCGCGCGCCTGGCGCAGCTCGTACGGGCCGACCTGCTCTGATAGCATGTGAAAATAACGAGGAAGTGAAGAAAGGAGGGGTTTCACTAGCAGTAGTTGGGATACATATAGCAAACCCTAACAGGGTTGTACTCGCTATAGAGAACCCCACTACAGGCTAGATAATAACATTCTGACACCCTCAATTGCAGCCGTAGCCGGTCTAGCGTGTTCGTTCCGTGCGGTTACTTGTGTTTTATCACGATGCAAAACGGTCAAGCCTGATATCCTCTGTGCACAGTCTGGAATCGTCTTGCACCACGACGGATGAACTGTAAATGAAAGTGCTGGACCCGCACCCCGCAATGGTCAAAAGGCTCAGGTGTGGCCGATTTCAAAATCGCGGTGTTGCCATCTTCACGCCGAAACAACGCCTATACACATGATGCCCAACCCGTGCACGCGAATTTGCCCTGCACCGGATGGAAACCCTGCACCCGAGGTTTTTTCCCCAGCCAGTTGCACGCCCGTTACAAGCACGTCGCGCAAGTTGCAGTGGCTATGAACCAATAGTAACGAACAGACCGAAGTCACACTGAAGAGACTGAAGTCAAAATGTCAACGGATAGGTTACAAAAGTTTTATAAGCACCTGACGAATCCTTTTTTGCTACCTGCGAATCGACGAAATTTAGGCGAAATGTGGGTTACAGCTTATACGCCCCCTTTACAAGGCAACCGGGAGTGGCTCAAACGGGCATCATGTATTACCTGGAGAATTCCGAGAATTTCTCCGCGTCAGCCGCTCCAGGTCCCTCCATTCTCACCACTCTCCAATTCGCACCAGATTAGCTAATCCAAGTATGAAGGTCAACGTCTCCGGATTCCCGACCAGCTTCGCACCACAATTCCCATTTGCTGCGCCTTTTCCCATGAGATTCTGCAACATGCGTCCGTCCTCGCAGCGCCGTTCATGCATGGCGCAGTTCAAGGAAACCCGCTTTATGATTGGCACAGCCAACAGAATCTACGGAACACCACGTTGGCCGCGACGAACGCATGCTATCACGTTACCTGGTTCCCTCACTCCTAATCCACGCCTCCGCGACTTTCCTAGCATTTCGTTTTATAAAAGTTTACTGGGATCGAGCCGCAATGCACGGAGCAGAGGGGGTTAGGTGGAAGCTCGCACGATGCCGCCGAAAGGGGACATCACGTTTTCGCTGTTTGCTTGCTCTTCACGTATTCATAGGCCAGACTATTGGCCTCTTTTGCTGCTCATTCTCTCGGCGTCCTCGTTTTCATGTCTTGTCGTTCAGCCCCACCCTTGATGTCAAAGGCGATTCTGAGCGAAAGACTCAGGGAGTTCTTTCATGTACGCGCTTTCACTTCTGCAAAGCTCCGTATAGCGAGGCACGCGCGCCATTGTTGCAGCTAGTCGTTGGAACCGTCTAACCGTTGGACCCGGCGTAACGTTGAGAAAGTGGTATGGTTTTGGATAATTTCTTAAAGGCGACATCTGCGAGCCATCTGCAACAATAAGAAGGGCCGTCCTTGAATTCGAGGGACTCCACATCACATGGCAGGGAAGGGTGCAGCCGTGATAGCACGGGGTTGGCAGCTGGAGCAGCTAGTGCTGACGTGGAGCATTGAAGACATCTTTAACGATGAGCTGCTACAAGAGAAGGTGAGGCACCGAGAAGGCTAACACCGTGGGGTGACGTGTTACTCGCGAGTTCATCTTGATACCTTTCACTGCTTGAATCGCGTGACCATGGTCCACACCGAGATTCGTTTTCTTACCATACAGGCTATAGCACCTGATCCACGGTCAGGTTCTATCTAGCATGTCCGTCTGTTCCCATTGGAACGTGATCCATGACTTACCATTACCACCCACACAAATCTGGGTCTCTCTCGTTTTTCATGATCTCTTGCGGATCTGTCCTGTGAGTGCTACAGGTGCGGCCCATACCATCCACCTTCGCGGATGTACCCTCGTACCTGTCTGCCTTCCGCTGGCCCCTGCTGGAGGAGTGCCGTGCAGGGCTCAAGCGCGGCCTTGAGCAGCTGTCTGCCACCGCCTCCACACGGGTCGTGGTCAGAGCGGTGCAGAGGAGTGGTGATCGGCGGGCAGCGAGAACGGATGTATGTGGTGAGGTGGAGAGGGATGACTGGCAGCGGCAGTCTGTGAGTTACTTCGGTGATGACGGCTGCCAGGGCGAGGTGCGTGGAAGTTCAGTGCACAGTAGTGCACCGGATGAGATAGAACCACCGTGGTGCATGGCGCCACATGGCCAACCAACTGGTCGGTGCAGAGGCCAGTTGGTAGGCGCAGGGAAGGCACACTCAGAGCTGGCGTGCTGTGATACAGAGGGATTCTGCTATGTGCGCTTTGAAGTGCAGCAGCAGCAGCCTGCAGGGGGCGCGGGGGCAGCAGCGAGGCTGCAGTGGGGAGGTGCAGCGAGGCTGAAACCCACAGATGTGGTGTTGCTGTCCACTGTAGCTCCCTCTGGCCCTGCAGACCTGCTCTGCCCGGGGGTGCTGTATCGCCTTGCTGTCCTTCTTGTGGAAAGAAACTCGTCCGGGGAGGATGGAGATGACAATCGCTGTTTCCGGGCCAAAATATGCACTCCAGAGGGTTCCCCTGAGTATCAGGGCATGGTTGGGGCAGCATGGTATGTGACCTTTTTGGGTAGCTTGGCGACACCGCAGCGTGTGTGGGGTGCTCTGCATGACCCGGTGCTTGAGGTGGGGGAGCTAGGAAGGGGTGGCGCAGGCACAGTGGAGGAGGGGATGGAGGGCGATTGGAGGCGGAGGATGTTCAGGGAACTGCTGTGCTTGGAGCAGAGGCCGGGGAATGGTGGGCTAAGGGCGGGAATGAAGAGGGGAGGCGGAGAAGAGAGAGAGGTGAGGCAGCATGGAGAAACACTTCATGCAATAATTTTCACATTGAAAGTTGACTTGTGATGTCATTTGCCTTCTTCAACGCCATATTGTTCTCCTTACTTTTATTTTCTACCTGCGTGCTCCTCCCTGTGGCTTGTCAGAGCGCCTCCACATTTATGCCAGTGCTTTCTATCACTCCAGAAGACACTCCGCACCTCCTGCAAGCTGTTTCTCAATTCTGCACATCACGCCGACTCAACCATCCCCAGCGATCAGCAGTCCTTGCTTGCCTTAGGGGGCTGCTCTCAGCCACCACCGACGCTGCTCGTACCAGCAACTTCTTCTTTCCTCTTGGCCCCATTTCGCCCTTCTCTTCGTCCTCGTCCTTCTTGTCCTCCCCCTCTCTCTTCGGTGCTGCTCCTCCTCTGCTGCAGCTCGTGCAAGGCCCGCCCGGCACAGGAAAGACTCACACGCTTTCTGTGCTCCTCTCGGTCGCGCTCGCTCTCGGTGTTCGCACCCTCGTCTGCGCGCCCACCAACGTGGCCGCAGCTGAAGTTGCCAGGCGAATGCTGCGCCTCGCTATGTCCCCCGACACTTCCTCCCACTTCCCAGGCTTCTGCCAGGCACAACAGCAGCAGCAGCAGCGGCACGGATGGTCGTCCCAGTTGGAAAAGTCGTTCTCGACTGGAGGGCAGCTGCGCGTTGGAGATATCGTCCTGCTGGCGAGTGAAGACAGGCTGGCGGTAGACCCAGAGCTGGATTTGATTCTCCTGGGGGAAGGGAGGAGGAGGGAGCCCGGGGTATTTCCGAAGCGGAAGGGGTGTGTGTGCCGTGGACGGGTAGCGCGGCTGCTGGGAGCTTTGTCTTTGCAGTCAGGCTGGAGGGCGTCTGTGCTCACTCTGATGAGCTTTCTTGAGAATTCAGCGGATGAAATGAGTCGGGTCCACCGGGCACACTTAAAGATGCTGGAGATGTGGATCAGAGAGGATCTGGGTTGGATAAACAGCAAGACGCAAAGCAAGAAAGGGACAGAAGGCCTTCCGAATCTGCTTGAGTTCTTCCAGGAGCGTGTGGCTCAGCTCATTGACCGTGCTTTGGAGGGCGCGGTGAGCTTGGCTCACCATCTGCCGTCCGCCCTTTTGCCAGAGCGCGAGCGTGTGCTGCTGCTGCAGGCGGGCGAGCTGTTAGCAGCCTTGCGGCACCTCCTGCTTTGCCCAGGGCTCTCATCTGATGCCGTACTAAGCTGGCTTGATGGGTCACATACAGGGGAGGAGGATGATTTCGAGTTCAGCATCTCATCAGTCCTACAGGAGACTGCTGTGCTTCTTGCTCCTTTTGAGAATGTCGACAGGGGTGGCGGAATTAAGGATTGCTCCAGCTGGGCCGGCAGGATGCTTAGGTTGGGAACAAGGGGATCCATCAACAATCAAGCCGCCGCAAGCGCTACTACCAGCACCAGTGAGTCTTTTGCCATAAGCAACGACTCCACTGCTGCCAGCAGCTCAACCAGGGATGCGCGCATCTCTCTCCCGCAAGCCGAGTGTCTCTTCCACTCCATCCGCCGCCACCTGAAGCACATCGCCAAGCAGAGCCCTGCCTTCCACATCCCCACCCTCAGCAGCAACCCATCAGCTGCCACCGTGGCCACTCAGTGCGTGGCAGGTGCACGCCTCGTCCTCTCCACCGTCTCCTCCTCTGCCCGCGCTCTCGTCCGCTGCTCGGGCCACTTTCCACTGCTGCTGCTGGACGAGGCGGCTCAGCTAGTGGAGGCGGAGTCCCTGGTGGCCCTGCAGGCGCGTGGGCTGCGCTATGCCGTGCTGGTGGGGGACCCCAAGCAGCTGCCTGCTACCGTCATGAGCAAGGTCAGTGGGTGGGCCCGGCTTCAGAAGCGACGTGGGTGGTAGGCGTGGATAGTGATGTTGGTTGGCCGTAGCATAGGCGGATTGGTGGCCAGATTCTTGAGAATTCTGAAACATAATTCACAAAGATGAGGTTGCTGGAGGAAACAATCATGTCTGTGTATGGGGGTGTGTGCACGTATCAAGGGCACGCTCATGCATGAAAAGTGGGACCACTACTCCGGCCCACCTACCCTAGAATTGGCTTGCATATCGCACCTGCAAATCCAATCCCTATCATCATAACCTATACGCCTCCCATGCCTCTAATCTGGACATTGACCCGCAGGTGGCAGTGCAAGGCCACTACAACCGCAGCCTGTTTGAGCGCCTGCAGAGCACCGGGTGGCACGCAGAGCTGCTGAGCGTGCAGTACCGCATGCACCCGGACATCAGCCGCTTCCCCTCGCACGGCTTCTACCACGGCCGCATCGAGGACGGCCCCAACGTGTGCCAGCCCTCGCACTGCCCTCCGCACCTGCATCTGTTGTTTGGCCCGTACAGATTCTTCCATGTGAGGGGGCGTGAGGAGAGGGACTCTGCGGCTGTGGATGCAGGCAGCCGCAGCGTTTCCAATTCGGTGGAGGCTGCCGTTGTGATTGCTCTGCTCACGCGACTCTCCACAGGTGCACTCTGAGCTCTGATCTCTGCCATGCCTTAATCCCCTCCCCTTGACTGTGGTCCTTTTTCGCCTTACCCCTCCTGCCTGGTACGACATCTTAGAAATCCGCAGCCTCCATTCTCACCCCGTGTGCAACTATGCAGCATCTCAGAAATCTCATTTCTTAGTCGAGTCCGCTTCACTCCCATTCCCACAACCCCACATGGCCACGTGGCACATACGAGTGGGCATTGACGTCTCGTTCACAATGTGCAGCATGTCAAGGCAAGGAGGGCGGGGGGGCTGTGAAGGTGGGGCTCATCTCGCCATACGCCCGCCAGGTGGAGCTGCTGCAGCGCGCCGTGGAGGCCAAGCCGTGGCCCTCCCTGACTGTGGAAGTTAACACAGTAGACGGGTTCCAGGGCAGGGAGTGTGACGTTGTTGTCGTCAGCACTGTTCGCTCCAACAGCTCGAGAAGCATCGGATTTGTCGCGGATCCTAGGCGGTATGTTAGGATCTGCGTGGTTTTCCGTAGTCCTGTTTTTGCTGTTGCTGGTTTTCCTTCTCTTGTGCATAACATTGTAGGAGTCAAATTGACTGTTAGGAATCATTGGCACCTGATGTCTACCTCGTTGTTTACGGCCTGACAAATGGCAAGCTTGGATTTCACACCCTGCTTGTTTTTGTAAGTTTCCATCTCTGTCTTTTTTCGTTTTTGTTATTTCACATCCTGTTACATTTGCATGTCTTTCCTTTTGTTCACTGTCAACCACCCCTCTCCTCCCCCCCCTCCATTGTTCCTGACTCAACCTCTTTCTTTCTTTTTGCTTCCTCCTGCCACAACCCTGGGCGAGCCAGTCTGAACGTGGCCATCACCCGTGCGCGCCATGCTCTGTGGGTGGTGGGTGATGCACACACGCTGCAGAGGGGAGACAACATGTGGGCGCAGCTGGTGCAGGATGCGGAGAGGCGCGGGTGCCTGGTGGAGGCTGGGAGCAATGAAGGACTGGCAAGAGCTGTGGAGAGGCGGTGGGTGCAGGTGGGGGAAGCGCAGCAGCTGCTGAAGCCCCATTCAGGGCTCTGGGTCGGCCTGCACTGGGAGGTGAGTTATGGGAGGGTGATAAGCTAGGTGAGCACAGGGGGGCATGAGGAAAGGAGCTGTGCACGGGGTGGGGTGGGGTACGTGATCAGGGGAGCTTAGGTGAAGGTATTTCTTCAGTTTAATCAGACCACATTGGGAGAAATTTTCGTTGCAACCATAGCAGGCTATGGTTCGATGGCCGTTGGACTTATGTGGACTTTTACGATCAGTGACAGTGCAGTGCTGGTTGCAGATTTGACCCGCGCTGTTCTGTGTGCACTCTCTCCCCTCCTTTCCCTCCCTTCCCATCTTCTGCCCCCCGTTTTCTTCTCTCTGCACCTTTACGTCGTGCCTCCCGGCCGCCTGCTGCCCACTACCGGCAGGCGGAGTTCAGCCAGGAGTTTCAGCGCAGCATGCGGCAGGCGCCGTCGTTGGAGGTGATCAATGCAGTGCGGCGCCTCATGCAGGGCCACCGCCCGCAGTGGGACACGCGGCCGCGGCACGAGCTCAGCGACCCGCGCTACCACGACATCATTCACGTGCAGCCCGTGGGGCGGGCCTTTCTCATCTGGACCGTTGACATCTCCCAAGAGACTTATCAGCAAGTGAGCACCTTCCCATCCAGGGCTCAGGGGTTTGTGTGGTTCAATATACGGTTTTGGGATGTGCTGGTGTAGCCTGTCCATCCTGTGTGCTGAATTTTTAAGGGCCTCAAACACAGATTCATTCCATGTAGTTGTTCCCTTGTCTTGTGTAGGCCAATTCTCTGTGTGGTGCTTCCTCCTCTTGCAAAAGCTTCCTGATTACTGCCTCTGCCACTTCAGTAGAACTAATGGGCTTTTGTGTCTTACTGAAGCTTGGGCACCTGCGCCGCCGCTGCGCACCGCACCCCCCCTGGTGGCTGGCTGGCAGAGCTTTCTCCATTGCATGGCGGACGGCGGACGCTAAGCTACCCATTTCTCACTGCCTTCCTCTCAACTTCACTTCCCTCTTATCTCGCTTCTCCACCCCACACCCCCCCCCCCCCCCCCCCCCCCACCCCCCCCCCCCCCCCACATGCCCCTGCCCTCCTCACTTGCAGATAATCAAGGTATGGGACGTGGTGCCAGAGCGCGGGGTGCTGCCGTGGCTGCACCGCCTGGCGAAAGGCCTGGCCTCATTCTCAGACCAGCGCCTTGACTGCTGCGCCGCAAGCGCACCGGGCTCCGCTCGCAGGGTGCGCCCTCGCCAGTTCAGCAGGCATGCTCCTTTCGAGTGGTGGAGGGGGCAGCAGATCCACCAACTGCCAGGTGCTGCATTTCTTTTTAGAATATTCTGGTGTGAGTGATGGGATATAGGTAACCTCCATCAGCACGACAAAGCTCCACCTTCAATTCAGTTATTTGTTTCCGAAGCGCCCTTACCTTGTCTCAAACCTTCCCCAATTTATCTGTTCCCTCTTTTTCCCTCTCATGTTCTCCCAGCCTCACACCCAGAATTAGCTGCCATTCCGGAGCGAGCACCCGTGGATGAAAACGTGCTGCTGATGAAATTCTACCCGCTTTCTCTAGGCTCCGCCCAGCACCTGATGGCAGCAGTTCCGGGGGAGTGGCTGTTCAAGCTGAACGAGCAGCAAGCTGAGATAGTCCACTCCAACTGCACTGCTTTTGTGCTCGGCCGATCAGGTGGGCGTGGTCATGCTTGATTTCTTAAACAAGGGAGTGACTGCACAGCAGTCACGACCAATTGTGTTAGGCCGGTCAGTTGCTTGTAGCAAGCAGTCCGCGCTTCCTATGTTGCACCAGTCTTTTTGACCTCTTTCAATCGCAAACCGAACCTCCTCCAATCCCCTCCGCTTCTGTTGACGCCACTGTTTGGGTCAGCCAAAGAGACTGAGGTCCAAAAGGAGTGAATAATAACCTACGCATGCTCTTCCTCCTCGGTCGCCCATCCCTAAACCCTGTGCCCCTGTGGCTGGCCCAGGCACGGGCAAGACGACAGTGATCACCCACCGCCTGCTGCTGCTGGAGCACACGTTCCGCCGCGCCATGGGCGAGAGGCGCCTTCTCACTCATGCGGCCACTGGACGCAGCAGTGCCTGGCCGGGCAGAGAGCAGGGCGACTGGGGGACATGTGAGGAGATTGAGGAGAGTGAGGGAGACGAGGATGAAGGGAAGAGTGGGGGGGAGGGAGAGGAGGAAAGGGGTGGACTGCGCCAGGTGGTTGTGACCCCGAGTGCACGCCTGTGTGCTGCTATTAAGCACTTTGTGAACAAGGCCACGAGGTGAGTGGGGCCTGCCCATAGGTGCTGTGCCATGAAGCTCTTTGAAATGCGCTAGCCATTGAACTCGTTGCAACCTGTCCCCTCTTCAGATCTCCTCTCCTGTTCCCTATATCCCCCTGTTTGTCTCCTTCCATTGTGCTGTCTTTCTCGTCACTGGCAGGACTATGCTGCAGGCAGAGGAGCATGGCGGTGCCTGGTTGCCCAATGGACGCGCGGGGAGAGGGGAGGGAGAGAAACAGTCGCCACCGGCAGGGGAGGAGGGGCAGGATGAGCTGCTGTTGTTGGAGGAAGCAGAGGAGAAACTTCTGGGTGACCTACCAGAGGCTCTGGATTCAGTGGCGCCAGCTGCCTTCCCTCTTGTACTCACATTCAAGAAGCTTCTCAGCATGGTGAATGCCACGCTGTCACACCCGTTCCAGATGGAACGGAGCAGCACGGGCAGTGGATGGGGCCGAGGAGGGTCCATGGGAGGTCGATGGAGTGGTAATGGCTTGCCTGGTGGCATGAATGCAGTGTGGGATGAGGAGAATGATGAGGATGACTATAGTGAGGATGAAGATGAGGAAGAGGATGAGGGGGGGCTGTTTAGTGTACAGAGGTGGCGTGGGGGCAGGCTGCCATGCGTCGGCGGCAGCACTAGAGCCAGCACCACTAGAATAGCCACCAGCAGCAGCATTCTCAGCAGAACACGTGGCAGCATCAAAAGTAGCAGCGGCACTGCTGCCGCATGGGCTTCAGAGGAGGTTGACTACGAGCGCTTTGAGGCAGTCTACTGGCCGCGGCTCAACGCAGCAACCACCCGTTATCTCGATGCGTCCGCGGTGTTCAAGGAGATCTTCTCCCACATCAAGGGCTCCCTGCACGCGCTCAGGACACCGCACGGCCGCGTGTCTCTGCAGGACTACGTGCTGCTGGCGCGCACGCGCACGTCCAGCTTAAACGAGGAGCAGCGCGCAGCCGTGTATGGGCTCTTTTTGCAGTACGAGAGGCTGAAGTGGCAGAGAGGGGACCACGACATGTGCGACTACGTGTTCCACGTGTACAAGCAGCTGGAGAAAGGGGCTACAAGGCTTTGGACCCCCGCTGCGGCTGCTACAGGCTCTGCCTATGGTAGCACCAGCTCTCCTCACCATGGCAGCCGGCCTGGCATTTCGTCAACTGCAATCGGGACAAGCAGGGCTGTTGGCGGTGGGGGAAAAGTTGTTGCAGGGCCACCATTTCAGTATGTGTATGTGGACGAGGTGCAGGACCTGACCCAGGCACAGATTGCCATGCTGCAGTTCCTCTGTTCCAATGTCGCCTGCGGGTTCTTCTTTGCCGGTGACACTGCCCAGACCATCGCCCGCGGTGTGGACTTTCGATTCCAGGACATCCGACGGCTCTTCTTCGAGCTGTTTCTGGGAAAAGGGACGGCTGCTTCTGTTGCAGACGGGGTGGAGAGGAGCGAGGAAGTGGATGCAGGGAGAGGGGAGACTGGTGGTGGGGTTAGTGGCAGAGAGATCGTGGAGAGTGGGGGGGTCGATGAGGCGAAGGAAGGAAGGTGCGGAGGAGAGAAGGGGGGTGTGTGCAAGAAGCAAGGGAGGTGGGCGAGGGCAATAGAGTCGCGCGGGAGGCAGAGGCAGTCGGCCAGGGGGAAGAGGATTCAGGAAGAGGTTCGAGGGGAGGGAAGCGCAGGGAAAGAGGCCACAGTTTTGAAACCCTGTGCGGCCTTTTCAAAGGGTGGCGCAGGCACTGGGATAATCACAGCAGAAGCAGCTATTGACAAGGTTGCAGGCACCAGGAATGGGGGAGAGGAGGATGCACGCAAGGGCCAAGTGGAGGATCGTTCGTCTTGCACTGAGATGCCAGACCTACTCTTCCTCTCGCAGAACTTCCGGTCGCACAGCGGCATCGTGCGAGTGGCAGATAGCGTGGTGCGCTTGCTGCTTCACTTCTTCCCCCACTCTGTCGACCGCCTGCAGCCCGAGTTCAGCCAGCAGCAGGGCGAGCCGCCCGTGTTCCTCCAGTCCACCGGCAGCCGCGACCGCGTGGCACAGCTGTTTGGAAAGCGCGGGGGCATTGGAGGAGGTGGATGTGAATTCGGCGCCGAGCAGGTATGAATGTAGGGGAGGGTGCAGCTGCCCCTAAATGCTGAATTAGGCACTGAGCAGGGGAGGATGGGTATTGGGTGCCGAGGGGAGAAAAGGGGAAGGTAAGAGAGAAGGCGGAGCGTCGGAGACAAGGTACGGATGGAGTTTGGAAAAAAAACGGTGGGGGGAAGTTAGGCAAAGGGGAGGGGTAGGGAAGGGGGTTCAAATGGGGAGAAAGGAAGCAAAGGGGGGCAATAATGAAAAGCGAGTCACGTGCCAGCTTGAAACGTGCCAGCAATTTAATATATATAGTTTTTTTTTTTTTTTTTTTGTGCAACCACTCGTGCCAGGTGATTATAGTGCGAGACGCAGCGCGGCGAACGGAACTGGTGGAGCGCACTGGCTTGCGAGGGCTCGTGCTCAGCGTGCATGAATGCAAGGGGCTGGAGTTCCAGGTGCGCCAGCCAGTGGACCAGTGCAGTGCGGTGCGGTGCGGTGCGGTGCAGTGCAGTGCAGAGACGATAAAGAGTTGTCTCGTCTGACTACCCATGCATGTTATGTCATGCTCGTTTATGCTGTTCCAAGTAGCCTATATCCGCCCTTACTATGCAACTCATGCGACCACCATTCCCTGTCCAGTAGTTTCCTGTTCTGAATATTTAGGTATTCAGCTAGATCAGTTGCTGAGTTGCCTCTCCATCCACCTCTTTCCACCCTTCGACCTCTTCTCAAACAGGATGCTCTGATCTACAACTTCTTTTCTCACTCCCTGCTCGCATCGGGTTGGCGCCTGCTGTATGAGTACATGCGGCAGCACCACCTCATACCCTCAACCGCACAAAGCAGCTCCTCCAGTCAGTGGCAGTGCCCTGCCTTTGACCCAAGAAGGTGATGCCGTCCTTCATCGTAGTGATGTTCAGATGGGTGGTTCTGTCTTGTACCGCCTTTGTTGACTCGTTCAACAAAATACATGGGTTTGACAAAAACTGAGCACGAACGCGCCATTGCAGTGCCGACCGACACGCGTGTGTGCGCGACCAGTTGAGGCAGTGGTCCCGAGGTTCTTTCTTTCTATGAAGGCCATTTCTTTCATATGGGTTGTGTCTTGGGCTCTCATTTTGTTGGCGCGACCTCGGAACGTTTTGGAGTTGACCAAAATATAGGCTCAATCATCGCTGTGTTCAAGTTGGTTGTGTGTGTGTGTTTCTGTGCCACCTTGTCGCTCCTTTCACGTTGCGTGTGCTCGCTTGGTTCCTTTCACTTGGGTATTGCCAACTTATCTTCTCATTTCCGAATCCCCATCCCTCCCTTTCCCCCCTCCCTTTTTCCACCTCTTCTCCACCTGTCGCCCTCCCATCGCAGGCACAACCTCATGTGCAGCGAGCTGAAGCAACTGTACGTGGTGCTCACGCGAGCGCGGCAGCGGCTGTGGATCTACGAGGAGGACGAGGCGGCAAGGCAGCCGGCCATGGACCTGTGGAAGGCGATGGGGCTGGTGGTGGTGCGCCCACTGACCACCGATCTCATTGCGTCCATGCACACTGAGTCATCGCCAGAGAAATGGCACAAGCGGGGCCTCGAGGTGGGTGCACGCACATGCATGACATGTTGTTGTTACTTCCCCAATTTCACCTCATCCTGCAGCGATCCGAGCTTTGCAAGCGTCGCACGTCATCTGCTCTCATCTGCCATTTTTCCTCTCCCTTTCCCGTCCCCACCCCATCCTTTCTCCATCTTCCATTCCGCCAAATTCCTTGGTCTGCAATTCTTTTTCTCCAGATGTTCAACGCTGGGCAGTTTGAGGCAGCAAAGATGAGTTTCGAGAGGGCGGGGGACGAGCGCAGAGCAGCAGTGGCACAGGCCGCACTGCTGCAGCAGACGGCCAAGAGGCTGCAGGGCACAGACCACTGGCGGGCCTGTCGAACCTTCCTGGAAGCCGCGCAGGCGTTTCTGGCGGTTGACCGTCCGAGGGACGCTGCAGGGTGCCTCGCCAGCGCTGGAGAGATGGAGCGAGCAGGTTACACCAGGGGGGGAAAGTGGGGGAGGGGAAGGGAGCTGGTGTGGGTGAATATGGGGGGTGGCAGGGCAGTGATAGCGTGCCTGTGCTGGAGTGTGCAGATGAAGAAAAGAAGGAGATTGTGCTGAGGGTGAGAGGGCTTGGCAACAGCTGGTAATGGATGTGGGACCGTTTTCTTGATTATAAGAGCGACTCTTATGCACTGCACATGCAACCTCTCTCGCATGCTTCACTTGTTTTCCCTTTCTCTTTCCTACTTGAACTCTCCATTCATACCTCTCCTCGTGTCCATTGCCTGCCCGTCTCCTTCCCTTCTCGTCCGCTTCTCCTTCCCTTCGCCTTCCCTTCTCCTTCGCAATAATTTGCTTCTTTTTTCCCACTTTTCCATTTTCTTCCCCCTCTCTTTCTCATCAAAGCAGCTGCCACATACCGCAACATGTGCAAGCCACCACAGTGGGAGAAAGCGGCAGCATGCTACTTGCAGGCTGGAAAGGCCTCAGATGCTGCCGAGTGTCTGGCCCAGGCGTGGCTAGTGGAACGGGCACTAGCTGTGTGCTCACAAGCCAGGCTCTACAACCTAGGCCTCTCGCTCATTCATTCCTGGCAGGCGCAGATTGCAGACGGGCTGAGAGCGGTGAAAGGGAAGGACAAGCAGGAGCAGCATCAATCGCAGCACTGGGTTAGCGGGGACATGTCTGGCAGTAGCAGCAATGGACTGGTTCCGCCTCTCTCGGTTAACTCAGCTGGAGGAGGTGGGACGTTCGCCTCTAGTTTGGAAAGCGCTCGATGGGAAGGGGAGAGCGCTCAAAAGGTTGCAAGGGAGAGCAGTACTGCTTTGTGTGCTCCAGGGGAAGGGGAGACGTGGAAGATGCGGCAGGGGCTGATCACAAGGCTGAGTTCTGATTTCCTGCGTGACGCTGCGAAGTTTTTCTATCGGAAGAAGGATAGGGGGAAGATGATGAAGTATGTGCTCCGGTTCCCAGCCGCAGCGGAGAAGCGGCGATTTTTGGAAAGGCGAGACTTGTTTGAGGAGCTGTTGCAGGTTGAGGTGGCTGAGGGGAACTTTGAGCGGGCAGCCACAGCAAAACTGAAGAAGGGCGATATGCTGGGAGCAGCTGAAATGTTTGTTCAGCAAACGATGTGGGGCAGGGCGTTTGATTGTGCAATGGAAGCTGCCCGTGTTGCCAGCATGTGGGCGAATGGGAACAACGGGTGGCCCCTGAATTGCAGCAGCAGTATGAGGAGGGAGGGAGGTGAGGAGCAGGAGGAGGAGGAGGATAAGGAAGTGGGTGAATGCGCACAGGTGACCACAGGTAGGAACGACGGTTGGAGCTGGAGGTCAGAAGTGAGGAAATGGATTGGAAGGGGAGCAGCGGTGAGGGTTGAGGGAGTTGGGGAAGAAGGTAAAAAAAGCTGGAGTGGAGGGAGCAGGAATGCATTGGAGCTGGCGGTTGCCATCTGGCTGACACAGGAGGAAGCATCAGTGTGCAGGGGGGCAGGCATGGTAGCTGGATTTGTAACAAGGGAAGGGGAGAGAGGGTCTGGGAAGGAAGCAAGGCGTCTAGCTCGGAGTCAGCACATGGGGGGGAGTGCAGAGCAGGGAGAAGGAGCAAGGGAAGGTGAGAGGGAGGTGGATGCAGAGCAGGGGTTGGAGGCTCTGACCCTGCTGCTGCTTAGCGAGTGGATTCAACTAAAGGGTGGCACTGGGGACATGGAAACACTGTGGTGCCGGCTGACTAGTTGGGAGCGGGGTCGGAGCATTGCTGCTGAAGTGCTGTGCAGCTGGAAGGCTCTGGAGCTGAGCGTAGAGAAATTCAACTTACTTTCTCACACCACCTCCTCCCTCTCCGCTGCCCCCCCTCTCACAAGCACCGCTGCCCCTCTGCCCAACACAGAGCATCTCCCGAGCAGAATACGTGTATTGCGTCAACCGCAGCCAGTGCAAGCCAGCGTAGGTGGGTGGAGGCGGCCCTTGGGAGGAGGCGGACAACAGGGTATGCAGCAGGTGCAGCAAGGCGTGACGAGTGAGCAGCCGAGAGATGAATCTTGGCCAGGCGGTTTCCAGCAGCTGGTGGCGCAGGTGGAGGAGGTGCAGCGCTGGTGGGGTGAGTGGAGTGAGAGGGCTGCGCGAATGCTGGCGGCGCTGCAAAGGTTGTGCAGGAGGAGAGAGGTGCCGGCAGATCAGCCCTGGCTAGATGCAGCCTTTCATTTGCTTGCCGCCACACCCCCCACTGCCTCCAGTACAGCAGGGGTTGTGTCCACAGCTGCCCACACTGCACCTCCTACCTTGGATTTGCCGACACACTCCATCCTGGTGGGTCTGTCCTGTGCCTCCTGGCTTCTCCCTGTGCGTGCTGCCGTGACCCGCCTGCCCAATCAGGGCACTCGCGGGGAAGTAGCAAGGGAGGCTGCAGCTGAGGCGGGTGCCATTTACTGGTCCAGGCAGGTAGTGGCTGTGGTGCAAGGCTGCCTGCAGGTCTTGGACGTAGCCATGTGCAGGACGAGCGTGGCATTGCAGCAGATGGGGCGTGGAAACGAACTGATGTTGCGAGGAATGGGACGACAGCTACCAGGGCCAGTGGTGGCTCAGGGAGGATGCAAGGTTCATAATTTTCAGCAGCAGCAGCAGCAGGGGGCCGCGAGGGAAGGGATATCCCATGCAGCGTTACTGCGTCTGCAGTGCAAGTGGCTCGTGCAGTACCTTGAGATGCTGGAACGAGCCCTGCAGTGCTGCAATGGCGCCACCAAGGCCTCTCAACGGCCCCACGGTCACTCCACAACGGACTGGGTCTCATCGAAAGAGGGGAATGGTCACAAGTCGGCAGAGGCACGAGAGCTGGAGGGCGCTGCGAGCATGTTGGAGAGGCTGCAGGACAGCCTGGCCCAGCGCCTGCTGCAGCATGTGATGCCGGTGGGCGCGCCCCTTCCCCGTGACGTGGCGCTGCTGGCTGCGGAGGTGCGAGCACAGGAGAGCACTGCCTTTGCGCTGCACTGCTGGGCTCTCAGGCTGCTTGCTCAGTGCGTGGATGGGGCCACACGGCAGGACTCGGTCACGCGGGACAAGGAAGGAGTCGTGTGGGGTTCAATTGGATTGGGGTCTGACATGCATGAGCCCGTGCTTTTGGCTCTGTTGGGTGACTTGCTGCTAGTGCTGCCGCTGTTGGGCCCCCGATGGGTCCACAGGCATGGCGGGGAGCTGCTGCAGAGGCAGTCCAGCCTGCCTCCTGTGCACGCTGCGGTGCTGAGAGCGGTGGTGCATGAAGATGCCGTCCGGTTGTTCCTGGAGCAGCGGCACAGCCATGGCGCTGCCGTCACTCTTGCCAGCACCGAGTGGGTGGCTGCTCTCCTGGAGGCGCTCACTGTGAGTCTGTGTTCGCTGTTCACTGCTGCTGTTGTCTCTTGTGCTGCAGCTGCTGCGTCTTGACACGTATTTCCTTCATTTTACATTGGTTCTAACCATTTGAGTTCCCTCAGCTTCTGCACTTTGATTTGTCGTTTCCGCTCTGCTTCTTCTACTCCTCTGCAGAGCTGCAATCCCGAGCAAACAAGCTGCGATATCTTCCTCCTCCTTACTGCCGCTGTGTACGTGCTTGAAAGGGAAGTGACTTACGTGTGTGCAGCCATCACGAAGCTCCGAAACTTCATCATTCCCACCTCCCTTGCTGCTCTCCACTTAGATAGCCACCACGCCTCTGCTCTCTGCACCCTCCTGCTCCATTCACCATTCAAAATCTCTCCAGGCAGTGAGTATCAGCTCAAATCCCAGCTGACTCGCCTGCATGGCGTTATCAAGTCCCTTCTTCAGCAGCAGGGCGCATTACAGCAGCAGTGGGGGTCAAGTTCCGATGCTGCTGGTGACTCTACCCCTCACTTTCTCCGTCTACTCACCCTCCTCCTTGCTTCATCAGCCAATGTCCCGGCTTTCCACAACAGCACGGCTGCCTTCCTCCGTGACCTGTGGCGCTGCAACGGGTCGCTGTTGCTTCAGCTTCCGCATCTGATCCGTACCAAATTCTCTGCTGTTTTGGGCGGAAATCGGCCCAACCCCAATGCATTGCACGACTGCTTTTCGTGGGCCATGTTCAAACTGGGTGACCCATGGATTGTGCTCCGGAGAAAAGGCTCTCCCTTTATTCATACGCACCAATGGATTGTGAAGCTGAAAAGGTTCAACGTTGAGAAGAGGCTGGTTATGAGTGCAACTCAGGGGGGTGCAGCAAATGTGCCCCATTCGCCTCAAGCAAATGCGAAAGAGGGGTGGGTGCCTGGTGTGGATACTCGTCCCCTAGAGTACAGCGTATTCTCTCTGGTGGAGCTCACAGGACGCGAGTCTGCAGGACGTGTTGGTGGAGGTGCGATTGCTGACTGGGAGGCGGAGGGTGGGGAGGGAAGAGAGGAAGAATGGGAGGAGGAAAGGGAGGGCGCCAGCGGAGAGAGATCTGAAGAGTGGGGCGGAGCTGAGGGGCTGGTCGCGGAGGAGGGACTGGAGCCGGAGGAGGAGGGGGAGGAAGAGGTGGAGGGGGAGTTTGACGTGGAGGGGATGGCGGAGGAAAAGGGGAATGAGGGTGTTGATGCCGAGTCCGGGTTTGAGAGGGGGTGCGGGAAAGAGAGGGAGGGAGATGATCGAGAGGAGGTGGACGGAGTGAAAATTGCTGTTCGTGTCACTGCAACCTTAAGGCAGCTCCTTCTAGAGGTAGGTACACTTTATTGAGGTGGGCCATACACTATATTGGGGTGGGCCAATGAGCTATCATGGTAATGCACACAGTTTATTCTGTCTGTAGAGGTGTGCAGAATGGACACCACAGCCTTCGTTTCCCTCACTAGTATTCTTAAGATACGATTGCGCTTGTTGCATTCTCTGGTTCCTTGCCTCCGCCCTATTCATAACCTGCCGTCCTACTCATTCCACGCTATTCTCGTACCATCTCTCACAACATTCTCCCACTTCCCCTTCCTTCCTGTCAGGCAAGGGAGCGGCTTCAGCAGGAGCTGCCACCACTGGAGAGGAGTCGCAGGGAGGCAAAGAGGGGCCTCAGTGTGCTGCTGCACACGCGCAGCAAGGCTGTGAGGGAGTTCTACATCACGGAGTATCTGGACCACGCCTCCCCTCTCGAGGTCAGTTCCACATCAACATGCTTCGGTGACTTAACCGCAGGTCGCTCGTTGGTTTCTGAGAAATTTCAGAAGCTGAATGGGAAATGCATTCCCTGACCTGAAGGGATGTTCTATTGAGCCAGCCGTGGGATGCTGAGCCTCAGTGGCCAGCCGTGGGATGCTGAGCCTCAGTGGCCAGCCGTGGGATGCTGAGCCTCAGTGGCCAGCCGTGGGATGCTGAGCCTCAGTGGCCAGCCGTGGGTGGGATGCTGAGCCTCAGTGGCCAGCCGTGGGATGCTGAGCCTCAGTGGCCAGCCGTGGGTGGGATGCTGAGCCTCAGTGGCCAGCCGTGGGATGCTGAGCCTCAGTGGCCAGCCGTGGGATGCTGAGCCTCAGTGGCCAGCCGTGGGATGCTGAGCCTCAGTGGCCAGCCGTGGGATGCTGAGCCTCAGTGGCCAGCCGTGGGATGCTGAGCCTCAGTGGCCGTGTTGGGCTTGATGTGCAAGCACATGGCGTGCCCAAAAGGGAGGGGAAGTTTTCAGCGCTGCTGGTGCTGCTGGAGCAGGTTGGCGAGGTTGGCTGCTTGGTGAGTGGACGGGCGGCACGGCACGCCCGCCAGGTGGTTGGCATTGAGTTGAAGTTGGCATTGAGGTGAAGTTGGCATTGAGGTGAAGTTGGCATTGAGGTGAAGTTGGCATTGAGTTGAAGTTGGCATTGAGGTGAAGTTGGCATTGAGGTGAAGTTGGCATTGAGGTGAAGTTGGCATTGAGGTGAAGTTGGCATTGAGGTGAAGTTGGCATTGAGGTGAAGTTGGCATTGAGGTGAAGTTGGCATTGAGGTGAAGTTGGCATTGAGGTGAAGTTGGCATTGAGGTGAAGTTGGCATTGAGGTGAAGTTGGCATTGAGGTGAAGTTGGCATTGAGGTGAAGTTGGCATTGAGGTGAAGTTGGCATTGAGGTGAAGTTGGCATTGAGGTGAAGTTGGCATTGACGTGAAGTTGGCATTGCGGTGAAGTTGGCATTGAGGTGAAGTTGGCATTGGATTGAACCACCCGGCGGTCGTGCTGTGCCGGCCAGGTGATGAAGGGTCCTTTCGCAAGGGGGGCTCCTTTAGCTCTCTCAACAAGACTTTCTGCGAACAACCGGAGGAGGAACGAGAGTACCCCAGGGATTCTGCAGCCATAGGTCTCACCAGCCATGCCGTTGAACCTGGCCCAGTCGCTCCGGACCACAAGTGGTTATCCCTGCCGTGGCGGGCTGCTGCCCTCTGGGGTCTTGGTGTGAAAGGGGGTCCATGACCTCAAACCTCGCGCTTCTCCGCAGGTTTGAGGTTCACCAGTATCCTACAAGTTTGAGGCTTGCTGCCAATGGCACTGGTGAAGTTTGAGGGAAGGTGGTGGATGGAGATATTTGCGAGCAGGTTTACTGATCATGATAAGAGTCTGGCGTCCTTGTGCACGTGAGGTGTATCCCGCTTCCACGTGTATGCGAGTGAACTCATCGTGGAGAGCATGTTGGATCTCGGTGCGGCCCTCCACCTCCCTCCCTCCATCTCTCCCTCCCTCCCACCCTCTATCATTTGCTCTGTTTACCTCCCTCCCTCTTTCTCTCCACCCTCCCCCCCCTTCCGCTTCCCTTTTTCCTCAATATCACCCTGCGTGCCTGCATGGGCAGGTGAAAGCGTCGGCGTTTCTCGCCCTGGTGCACAGTGCAGTGCTAGCCATGAAGGCTCGCCTCGGCACAGCACAGGATGGTGGGGCGCAGACAGGGGGCCGGGACCCCTGGGAGCAAACAGGGGGGTACGGAGGAATGAAGGGGTCCATGGGTGATATTGCATTGGAGGAGCAAATTGAGAAGGAGGATCAGTTACTGGATGACGCGGCAGATGCTGCGGAGGAGCTCGAGGCTGCCATGGCTGTGCTGCACCATGCGTATGTGATGAAGCACAAGATGTATCCATACTGCGCTGCCTGCCTTGCTGTACCCTTTTTGCTCTTTCTGCTGCTACTTATGCTGATGCTACCATGCAGAGTTCTTATTGTGTTGTACTGCCCGCTAGCTTGTTTGATTGCGTGAAGTGGGTAGCCAAGTGAAGGGGACCCGAGGGGTTGTATCTGTGTGGGGCATGACAGGAGTGAGGACCGCGGTGGTGGCTGTCAGTAACTGTTGCAATGCTTTCTGTGCATCCCCTCGTTTTCTCCCTGTCATAATTTCTCATGGTTACATCCTCTACATTTTACGTTCCCAACCTCTGATGCTTGTGTACTGCTTCCTCTCTGTGATGCAGGCACCCAGGCCACTCGTCTGCATCAGTATCATGGCTACACCGCAAAGCCATACATCCTCTATCGACCCTCCTCTCACTAAAGCGGCGCTCTCTGGAGCAGCCTTTGAAGGAAATATTGTCCTCTCGCAGTACACAGCCAACAGCCAGTGTATGGGAGGAGTGGCAGTAAGGGGAGGAGTAAGGTAAACAGCTGTCAGTATTGGTGGAGAGGTGGTGGTGTTGGGTTGGGAAGGGGCAGAGGATTTTGAAAGTGGAGGAGCAGTGTCGCGACGCAAGATAAGGTGAATGATCAGCGAGTGTATATACTGTATATTTGTACAGTCCACTGAAGAAGTGAGTACTGAGGAAAGGGGAAAGCAAGGCAAGGATGATGGGTTGGGGCAGGATAAGGTAACACGTCGGCGGAGGGTCTCATGAGGGGAAGAGGTGTTGGGCTGAGAAAAGCCCTTAGGATCTTTGCAGGACTAAACTCAGAGTAGGAACAATGTAATAGCGGAAGCGTTTTCTGATAAGTCTGCGAACCACCTTGCGCTGGTCAGGGCCCAAAATAGGTTTAGGCTCACTCTTTCAAATCAGGGTGGCAGGCCCTCCGTACCCTGACTGTTAGGGTAATCCTCGTGGTACACTATTTACAGCAGTGTAAAATTTTGGGTACACTGATTTCAGCAGGGTATGTTTTCCGGTACACTGATGCATTAGCAAATACTTAGAAAGGTGAGAACAGTCGTGAGAAAGGTGAGAGAATGGCGAGAGGCTGAGAGACCCCTTGGGAATCACAAAGTCCAAGAAGGCCCAAGCAGCACGGTTTCCGCGCACCGCGGGAAGTACATGGCAGAGGCTGCAACACCACAATCACTGCCATGTGGTGCAAACGACAGCACGAAACCCACCTGTCGCGCATTTTGGCACCGTTGGCAGTGAGCGATGCTTCGGGAACAACCTACGTTGCTTGGATGTTGCTCAACGGACCAATCGTAGACGTGCGCGTGCAGCCTCGCTGCTTCTACGTTGGCATGCTAGTGGGCATACCGTACAAATGCTCCAGTGGGTCCGTGGTGAAATTTGTCTTGGCACGTACTATGGCGGAATACTCAGTTAGAAGAAGATCCGTTAAAAGTGTAGTTGAGCCCGTACCCTGATACAGCCGGTGTAACTAAACTTGTTACAAGAGTGCTTTTCTCAGTATCCTGATTTCACTAGGGTAAAAAATTGCATAGCCTGATTTCACAAGGGTAACTGCCAAAAAGCGGCCTACCATCAGGGCAAAAAGGGTATTTTACCCTTGAAATTTGGGGCCTGGCGCTGGTATGTGAGGGCAAAGTAGATTGATTAAAACAAGAGGATACAAGGTTTTAAGAGTACAAGGAATATGAAGAGATACAGCTAATAACTATTTTACTGTTGCTGTTGCGGTTCGATACAGTGACGACTCGGGCAACTGCTCTGTATCGATTCAGTTGTTTGTCCTTGTTGTCGCGCTATATTTGTCAAGTCAAAGTTTGCTGACCTTTGACCTTTGCGTAAACTCCAGCGGTTGCTTCAGTTGTCAACCTCCGATGGTTGACTCGCTGATGTTTCGTTAGTTCTTTGCTTCGTTTACAACTTGATGTTTCGACACAGCAGAAGCGCATAAATCACTTGTTTCCAACAAGAGGGGGGGGTGTGACAGCTGGAAGGAGCTATTTGTTTCGTGTGCGTGCGCATGTTTCGTTTCCTTGTAGGTTGGATGTTCGAGCCAGCTGGGGTTACAGCCACCAACTGGAGGATCGGCAGGTGGATGGCTAAGTGCTGGAGGCAAGTGGCGAGGGAGAATGGCTCTTCGTCTCGAAGAGGAGGCCACCACCTCCAAGGGAGCCTTATGGAGTAGCAATAGGGGGAGGAGCGTAGGCTACGGGCCATCAACACTGCATTGCTTGTATGTTCTATGCTAAACTCATGAAATTGCAACAATCTGTGTGCATGTGAGATATCAGGCCAGTACGAGCAATAGGTTGGGGGTTACAGGACGAGAAGAGATGAGATTACGCTAGAAGAGCTTATCACATACAAGCAATCTATGGAGCATTAGTATAGGGACCAGAGCTGGAACGGAGTATGAACTAGAATGGAAGGGTCGAAGTTGGAAGTTACTTCTCAGAAGAACGAGACGTAGACATGCACCGGGGAACGGACATGCGCGAGGACGCGGAGCATGGGCCGGATTCGCCCGGGCATGCGGCAAGCGGGCAAGAGCGGCCGGGACCACCGGCAGAGGGGTCAGCACCAACTGGGGCGGAGAAAAAAACAGTTCTTGGGCATGCTGGAAGAACAGTTCCTTGCGCAAACGCCGTAGCAAGTATCGGAATTCCGGGATTTCAGGCAGCAAACAGGCGAGTTGCTGCGAGCGTATTGCGGCCGACTGGTGGAGCTAGCCGAGGATATGACCTGTCATGTCCAAGGACGGTTGATTAGCAAATTTCTAAATGGGCTGAGCTACGATCTATGGCGGGATGTGCAAGTGCGCGTGGTCGACATGGGTGCGAGGGCCACGCTCAAGGAAGCCCACGAGGTGGTGAAGCGGGTGTAAACTGGACGAAGGTTGTACAAAATCGAGGCAGCTCCGGAACGAGGAGGAGAGCGACGGCGGCCAGTGTGGACAGCAGCATCGGCGGAACGAGAGCGCCCGCCGCGGCGAGCAGGAGAGGAGAGGAAGTGCCACAACTGTGGCAAGGCGGGCCACCTCCGGCGTGACTGCCGCAACCCACCAGCCTGCTCAATCTTCGGAAGTGAAGAACGCATGAGGCGCGACTACCCAGACACCCCCATCTGTGATTGATGTGGGCGGAAGTGTCTGATTTCCATCGGTGTATTGCTTGCTTTCACCAGAGGTGTATGCGCTACGCTGTGAACAAAAATGTAAGCTCGGCTGAAAAACGTGTATTCTCATTGATGCAAGGAAGAGTTGAGGTACAACATTGCCTAGGGGACTCTTAAGGGGTTGGGATCATCCTGGGAACTCAGAGAAGTTGAGTCCTAGGGGAGAAAGGCTAGAGAAGGATGGGAAACGTCCTAGCTAGTGCGGAGATAACTGCAGCAACGGGAGCTAGGCTACGGGCTAGGCACGTGTGCTCGTGTGATCTCTGCGTTCGTTAGTCCTTGTGCACACACTACTTGCTAGTTCACGGGGAAAATTGGCAAGAGTTTCACTAGGAAAAGTTCAGAACAATGGGACAATGAAGTTGGCATAGCAAGACTACATCAGAGCAAGCATTCAGGTCGGCCAGCTGCCAGCGCAGCTTGGTCGACCGCGTTCCAGCACGACTTCGTCGACCGCGCTCCAGCAAGGCAAGGTCGACGGCGTGCCAACGTCGCAGGTTGACGGCGTGACAGCGTTGCTCACGCAGGACAGCAGTGCACCCTGCTTCGCAGTTGTGCGCAGATGATTGGCGCGCAGAGTTTTGTCACCTGCACAGCGCACACACCACGTCAACCTCGAGCTGACGACTGCCTCTGATCCGCCATGACGACCTCGGGATACCACCACCGAGGTCGGGCTCGCCAACTTCGCCTGGGCGACCGTCGCACTCCTCCGCAGCACTTCGTCACCCAGGTAACCTGGTTGACCAGGCAACCACGTCGACCAGCAGCTCCCATACGTGCCCGTCGACCTCCCAAGTCGACGACCACCTCCACGTCGACCTCACCAGGTCGACGACACCATCGGTCGACCTCCTCCAGGTCGACATCCCCTCTGGTCGACCAGCTCCACGTCGACCATCACTCCTGGTCGACCTGCTCCTCGTCGACCAGCACAGTCGTCGGCCGACCACCCACGTCGGCCACCCGAAGCTGGCGTCACAAAGTTGACGCCCCGCTACTCGACGCCCAACGGCTCGGCGTCCTGAGTCGAGGTCGACGTCGGCCCCTCCTTCGTCGACCACCAGGTCCAGTCGACCACTTAACAGGTCGACCAGCAGTCCGTTAGCCGACTGCCAAAGTCGGCTTCCCCAAGTTGACGTCACCAAGTTGACGTCCTCCGCAGGTCGACACCCAAGTCGACCTCCCTGAAGTCGGCGCCACCCTGAAGTCGGCGCCCGTGTAGTGGTCCCCTGTGCAGGTCGACCTCCTCGTCGACCAGCTCACCCACTGCTGAAGGCCGGCTGCTCCCCTCACACCCGACCACGAAGTCGGCTCCGCCCAAGCGAGGACGGGGCCAATACCCAACTCCCGTTGACAGCTAGGTCAGCAAAGCCAACCACACATGGATGTTCAGAGCTGTACTCAAGGCAACCAATTGTGAGTTAAGCCAACCATGAGTCACCTTGTCTTCCCACTTGCACCCTCTTGCAAGCTGGTTCCAAGAAGACCACACTTCTCAAAAGGAGGGCTGTAAGGTCCCACTTGACCACCTGTACTTCTTGTCTCATTCTCTGTCCCTGCACAATTGGCATGACAACAATGAAAGGGTGGCAAGGGAAATGCTGCCAACAGTGCACCATGACTGCGGAACAGCGAATTTCGGCAGCTTTCACGCAATGCTCAGATTTTGGATCGTTCTGAAACTTGGTGACCACCTGCACAGCAAAACAAAGGACAGCCAGACCGAATTTTAGACCAATCAGAGCTCGGTAGACGAGTCAGCAGCCGAAATGGTGAACTCGGGTGTTACCAAAAAGGAGTAACACACACTTCCGGGATGCCATAAGTCTTGAAACATAAAATGTTGTCATGCCTTGGTAACTGCTTCAAAAACTCTGAAAATTTGAGGGTTTGAAGAACACATGTTGAAAAACCTCCCCACAAAATTCCAGAAGCTGAGCAGGCTTGCAGGCCGAATGGGATTGCGATGACCGTGCCACTGTGTTGTGTTGGCACAACAAACTCCCCCTCATAGTGCTCTCATTCATCCCTTAGCTGCTCCCTGAAGCTACCTCCCTTAGTTGAAGGACATGCAACACAAGGTGGCACAGGTCCAATGCTGATGCTCTGCAAGCCGCTTGGTTAAGAAATCTGCAGGTTGCTTGGTAGTGTTGATGTAGTGCAAGGAGACCGTGCTCTTCTTCACCTCCTTCCTCACCCAATGCCATTTGATATGCATGTGCTTGTTCAGCCCATGGAGCATAGCATTGCGAGCCATTGCAATTGCTCCTTGGCTGTCACAAATCCCAGGTATAGGACCCTCTTTCTCCT